ATCATACCATGCTCTCTTGGTCAGCAACAGCAAGAGCCACCCAAGGATGAGGTAGTTCATCATTTGCGATGTGAAGGCATAACATCTGCACATAGAAGTATGAAAGCACTATATGGTGGCTTATAGCTCATTACTGTGTGTATCCATCCAAAATAAAAGTAGTTTTAAGCCTCAAGACTTTTGTCACCTTTCATAGTCACATGTGCAAAAATGCCTAGAGACAGGAAAACAGTTCATTATTAAATTAATAGATGTTATTGACAGTTATATGGATTAGGTACATAGACACAATCAGATGTGATCAAGGAATTAGAAGAAAGGAACTGGGTAATAAAGCAACAAAAGAACATTCAGTAAAAAAAATTGCAGTTTTGAAAATGATTGTCCATTTTTAAATGAAACATTTTTAAAAATAAATTTAATTATCGCATGTAATATATTTTATGTAATATATTTATAAGTTACTGCATTTGTATGGGAAAATATGAATGAACTTTTTGGATGGCTATAATGCACGACCTTGGGAGTGCAATATATCCATCCACAAAAAAACGAGTTCATATTTTTTCAATCAAATGCAGTAACCTTTTTAATATATATATATATATATATATATATATATATATATATATATATATATATATATATATATATATATATATATATATATATATATATATATATATATAGTGATAATATGACAAAAATATATAACAGTATGTTCGCTAACTAAAGATGGATGCAATCTGTGAAAATATCATATATCATTATGACTATATTTTAATTTATATTTAATGTTAAAACAAACTACTTCACTATACAAAATGTTTCTTTTCTCTCTCATACAACATAACATCATTTAACTGGAGAGGCGATCAGACAGAAATACAGATCACCTTACTGCCTACTGGAGTGGTGACAATTTGACGGAAAATTGCAAGGACAATCATTGATGCCTATAAAGTCTAATTTAACCTTATATCAGTTTTTTGCTGAATTATCAATCGGATGAAAATAATTATACGCCATTTACACAACTGATATTGATACTTGAAAAATTAATTGGCACAGCGTGTTAACTTCTCAACTGGCACTTCGTGTAATATTTTCAATGGATGCTCGGCATTGATAGGTAAGGCTTCCCCAACACAATAACCTGGATGTTGTATCAAAAAAACTGTTGTACTGTCATGCCAGATCCATGAATTGCAGGTGTGACACAGGTGTTAGCAATGCAGGATTATTTTAGGTAGGTGACATTGTTGCTATTTGGGAGTCTATCTGGATTGCTGTTTCACTCATTAATCTTTATCTGTGCTGGTCTGATAGCAATGTACCTGTTGTTTTAATTTTTTGTTTTTAGGCTTCCAAGTTCCTAATTGTTTTTGATGTACACAAATGGAGGAATCAATATGGTTTAAGCCACTACTGTAATGGTCTTGATTGATGGAGCATGTAATTGTCTGACACTCTGGAGGGGTGTTAATTATATTGCCTGAATCAGGTTGATCAAAGACTAGGAACTGTTTCATGTTTGGTATTACATCTAGTTACTGGTGTAGATGTCAGCATGAAACTGCCCTTAGCATTGGTTTTCTCATTCTTTCTACATTTAAAGTATTATGAAGTAATAGTGTGAAACCATTCAACCATGTATGTGTTATGACATGCAGGTTTGCAGTCAATGCACAATTCTGTACCCACATTATGCATAATTTTCACACATGGTTATAACAGACCTGTACAGAAAGGAATATTAATATTCTTGGAATAAAAGCAGAAAACATTATAATTACATTTACAGGCCATCATGTCATGTCATGGTGGAGAAATGATTTCCACAACAGTGTGTCATGTCATGGTGGAGAAATGATTTTGACAACAGTGTCATGTCATGGTGGAGAAATGATTTCCACAACAGTGCATCATGTCATGGTGGAGAAATGATTTCCACAACAGTGTGTCATGTCATGGTGGAGAAATGAATTCCACAACAGTGTGTCATGTCATGGTATGGAAAATTAGTCCCATCACAGTATGTCATATTACTGTAGGGGAAATGATTGCTACCACAGTATTTCATATCCAGGTGGGGGAAATGATTGCCACAAAGTAAGTCATGTCCTTTATTGAGGAAATGAGTGCCATCACAGTGTATCATGTAATGGTGGAAGAAATGATTGCCATAAAAGTGTATCATGTAATGGTGGGGGGAAATGAGTGCCATGACAGTGTATCATGTAATGGTGGGGGGAAATGAGTGCCATCACAGTGTATCATGTAATGGTGGGGAAAATGATTGCCATCACAGTCTATCATGTAATGGTGGGGGAAATGATTGCTATCACAGTGTATCATGTAATGGTGGGGGAAATGAGTGCCTTCATAGAGTATCATGTAATGGTGGGGAAAATGAGTGCCATTACAGTCTATCATGTAATGGTGGGGGAAATGAGTGCCATCACAGTGTATCATGTAATGGTGGGGGAAATGAGTGCCATCACAGTGTATCATGTAATGGTGAGGAAAATGAGTGCCATCACAGTCTATCATGTCATGGTGGGGGAAATGATTGCCATCACAGTGTATCATATAATGGTGGGGAAAATGAGTGCCATCACAGTGTATCATGTAATGGTGGGGGAAATGAGTGCCATCACAGTGGATCATGTAATGGTGGGGGAAATGATTGCCATCACAGTCTATCATGTAATGGTGGGGGAAATGATTGCCATAACAGTGTATCATATAATGGTGGGGGAAATGAGTGCCATCAGTCTATCATGTAATGGTGGGGGAAATGAATGCCATCACAGTGTAACATGTAATGGTGGGGGAAATGATTGCCATCACAGTGTATCATGTAATGGTGGGGAAAATGAGTGCCATCATAGTGTATCATGTAATGGTGTGGGAAATGAGTCCATCACAGTCTGTCATGTAATGGTGGGGGAAATGAGTGCCATCAGTCTTTCATGTAATGGTGGGGGAAAATGAGTGCCATCACAGTGTATCATTTAATGGTGGGGGAAATGATTGCCATCACAGTGTATCATATAATGGTGGGGGAAATGAGAGCCATTACAGTTTGTCATGTAATGGTGGGGGAAATGATTGCCATCACAGTGTAACATGTAATGGTGGGGGAAATGATTGCCATAACAGTGTATCATGTAATGGTGGGGGAAATGAGTCCATCACAGTCTGTCATGTAATGGTGGGGGAAATGAGTGCCATCACACTTTCATGTAATGGTGGGGAAAATGATTGCCATCACAGTGTATCATGTCATGGTGGGGGAAATGATTGCCATCACAGTGTATCATGTAATGGTGGGGGAAATGATTGCCATCACAGTGTATCATGTAATGGTGCGAGAAATGATTGCCATCAGTGTATCATATAATGGTGGGGTAAATGAGTGCCATCACAGTCTATCATGTAATGGTGGGGGAAATGTTTTCCATCACAGTGTATCACATAATGGTGGGGAAAATGATTGGCATCACAGTGTATCATGTAATGGTGGGGGAAATGATTGCCATCACAGTGTATCATATGATGGTGGGAGAAATGAGTGCCTTCATGGAGTATCATGTAATGGTGGGGAAAATGAGTGCCATCAGAGTGTATCATGTAATGGTGGGGGAATGATTGCCATCATGGTGTATCATGTAATGGTGGGGGAAATGAGTGCCATTACAATCTATCATGTAATGATGGGGGAAATGATTGCTACAACAGTGTATCATGTAATGGTGGGGGAAATGAGTGCCATCATAGAGTATCATATAATGGTGGGGGAAATGAGTGCCATCACAGTGTATCATGTAATGGTGGGGGAAATGAGTGCCATTACAGTCTATCATGTAATGGTGGGGGATATGATTGCCTCAACAGTTTATCATGTAATGGTGGGGGAAATGAGTGCCATCATAGAGTATCATATAATGGTGGGGGAAATGAGTGCCATCATAGAGTATCATGTAATGGTGGGGGAAATGAGTGCCATCACAGTGTATCATGTAATGGTGTGGGAAATGAATGCCATCACAGTCTATCATGTAATGGTGGGGGAAATGATTGCCTTCACAGTGTATCATGTAATTGTGGGGAAAATGATTGCCATCACAGTGTATCATATAATGGTGGGGAAAATGAGTGCCCTCACAGTCTATCATGTAAATTGATGTTGTGGAAAATGATTGCCATCACAAAATTTTATGTTCTGGTTGGGGAAATGATTACCACAACAGTGTATCATTTCATTGTTAGGGAAAATACTGCCAGCTCAATGTGTCATGTCATGGATTGGGAAATAATATTGAACACTGTGTCATATCATGGTGTGGGAAATAATATTGAACAGAGTGTCATATCATGGTGTGGGAAATAATATTGAGCACAGGGTCATATCATGGTGTGGGAAATAATATTGAACACAGTGTCATATCATGTTGTGGGAGATGATTCTTACCACCATGTATCATGTCACTGTAGGGGAAATAATTTTCACCACTGTTTGTCATGTCATGGTGGGGTAAATGATATAGACCACATTGTAAACTTAAAAAAATATTACATCAAGTTAGATCTAACAAGAAAAAAAATCATTGATTTCCATGGAGTTTCTGAACCTGGACAGGAGGTCATTAAAATTTACACATCTTTTAAATGTTTTAATTGAACATCATGTTGACTTTGGAGTATCAAATCATGTTTCTTTTCAAGTCTTCCAAGCTGTAAAAGGCAGTGAATAATATTTCATTACACCTTTGGGGGTTGTTTTGGACTTTTAATAAAGCTTTAACAATTTTAGTGATATTGCTATGATAGCTGCAGAGTGGCAGTTAAAGTGATATCTACCATTATGCTTCAGACACATAGTATTATCATGTCTCACCCAGATACATCATCTTCATACCAGTCCTAACACTAACCTCTTATTGCTGAACACCAAGGAAGGCAGCTGCTAGTAGCAATTTTTTTAATCTTTGGTATGACTTAACCAGGGTTTTAACCCACAACCTTCCACATTTAAGGCAGATGCTCTGACCACTTAGGCCACTGGAAAGTCATCCAATGTATGTAAAAATATTGACTACTATTGCGTGGCAAGACTGCTATGAGTCAAAATCACTGATTAAACATTTTCTATAAATTAAAAAAAATAAGAGTTTTGACCTAAAAATATTTTACCATTTACTTTCGAGTGTAACACTGGTAAGGTGACTCAGAATGTCAAGTAGAACTAGGCCATGGAAGTTCAGTCACTGAATCACAATGATACATGTGGAAAACTACTTTAAATTAGTTTATACTTAAGACCTTCTTGCTCTTATTTAGGGTCCATATTTAATCATTTTTTTTATTGCCCCCTCATCTTTGTTATATAAATGTACAGTGTTGGCATCTTAAAATCTTTTCTTTCCGATTGAGAGATAGAGGAGGGAAGGAGAGAGCATTCGATGGAAGAAAAAAATGAATTAGAGCTAAGAGTGTGAATACAGGATTCAATAACATACAGAATAGGATATAGGTTTCCACTTTATCTCAGATTCCCACATTGGTGCTATCCATGCTATCTCAGATTTCTCACAATGGCGATAATACTTTTATCACCACTGTGGTGATATCAATTATTCTCTAAATGATACATTTTAATATCTCATGAAATATACAGTAAATTTTCTTCTCATTACAGGTATACTAGCTCAGAGCAGATTTTGTCTATTTCGAAGTAAGAGTTAATGCTTGTCTAAGGATAAAGGTTAAGCAGTGACAAATAATTGTACTTTGTGAATCAATACTGCCTGCTTCTGGAAATGAGTATATATAAAACTGGAACATCTTAACTCAGTTTTCCTGCTAGCACCACTAAAATTTTGATATTTTATGACATTCAGATTAGATCAGTCAAAATTTTTCATAATGTTCTTGTACTCTAATTGTTCAGCTGTTTAAATTCACATGTTGATTGCTTTGATTGATTCATCATGTGCCTGACAAATGAGTGTCACCATTAGACTAATTTAGTTTTTATCCTAACTGTTAGGGATATTAGTTAGTCGATAAATACACTCATGAGCACATTATTTTGTGATAAAATCCAGAACTTCAATTCATTAATGTAAATCCAATACCAGTCCCAAAGCTCTCTTGATGGAGAAGTTGCATGTTGTGGGTGTATAATTACAAAATTTTTGTTTGAGTTAAAATTGCTTTTTGCCATTTATGGCATCCTAATGTTGTAAAATTATTATTCAGTATTGCATAAAATCTGGCTGGGATATTCAGGTTGCAGCTGTCACCATTTGAATGGTCATTACCGTATGGGATATTAGAGTAACATTCATAAAACATTTGTCTTTATTGCCTTAACCAGAAGTTTTTAAATGGAAATCGTTTTTCCATTCATACATCCGTTATGTACACTGATTATGATGCAATAAGTCATACCTGGGTGTTATCACTATTATATATATATATATATATATATATATATATATATATATATATATATATATATATATATATATATATATATATATATATATATATATATCTGTGTGTGTTTGTGTGTGTGTGTTCTGAAAGAACTAAAATACCTATAAGCAAGGATGAAGACACAGGTATGGCTTCATGGAAAATGAACTGAGTGCTATTTGGATAAAAATAATGTATTATACATACTAGGAAGCTGTCAGAGAGGAAAATCCCAATGCATCATTTACAATAAAAACTCTAAATCCAATGTACTTAGTGAGACTCCTGACTCTGCCCTATTCAAAAGGTACTGATGTAAATGTAAAAGTCAAAGGATTTCCAGGGTCTGTATTTGACTTTGAAAATGCTAATATATATGAACATTTAAATACTAAAATAGGATGTCAGAATGATAGAAAGGAGTATGGAGACATTAATCTCTGTGATTACCCCCTTGCATGATGATATACATATAATTGATAAGCAACTAAATACAAAAGGTTTTAGGATAGATCACTTAAATATACAAGGTAGAATGGGAAAATAGACCAGATTAAGCTCATGTTGTCTTCCAAAGAAAACAGTATACCAGGTACATGTTTAAGGATTCAATGAAACCAAATTAATGTTAACCATAATGATAATCTATTTCACTATTAAGACTACAATAAACCATTATGCAGGGATAGAAAGACAGAAGGGGGAGGTCTTGTTGTATACATTAGGGAAGATGCAGAAAGAAAATCTGAGTTAGAGTCACAAGAGAGTATTTGAGTGGAAATTTCTCAAAATAATGGATAATCATTCATAGTTGGTTTCATTTACAGACCACCTACCTCCAGCACAATTTGGAATGATAACTTCTGAAACAAATGGAAAATATTCTTGTACAGGAGAGAGACATATGCATACTAGGTAGTATAAATAAGGACTTACTCAATACTCAAAAAAGGAAGAACTGGATGGATTTTATTGAATCATTAGGCCTAGTCCATCTGGTAAATGAAACCACAAGGGTAACAGAAAAATCAAGCACTCTTATTAATCATATTTATAGAACCAACCAGACATGTGGCTTGTGTTAATGTTGGTCTTAGTGAATACTATCCTACTTTTCTGACAAACAAGAAAGGTCAAATGAAAGACAAATAGGAAAAGTACAAAACAAAACTATCACTTATAGAACATTCAAAAAGTTTCATAATAAACTAAATAAAGTTCTATGGAATATAATCCAAAATTTTGATGACATTGATAAAGCTCTGTCACAGGGCTGACTATTGATGAATGTAGTCTCTAAATATGCATCACGGAAAGTACATCCAGTAATTTAGTATGAAATCCATCCTAATTGGCTTACTGCTGAAATCCTAGATTCCATAAAACCATGTGACCAGTTCAAGGCTATGGAAAACTATGCATAATATAAAGTATACGGTATGATTAATAAAGCTAACAAAAATCTTATTATCAATCAATGCTTGAGAACAAAAAAGGAGCAACTCAAATTCTGTTTGGAATATAATGTTGGAACATGCAAAAGTCAAAAAAGTAAAATTCACTCATTTATGGTAAATTACACCATTGCTACTAATTACACTGACATTGCAAACGTTTTCAATAATTTCTTTCACCAACATTACCAAAAAATTAAAGGAACCAGTGATAAAAAACAATTTTATGGAACTGAAAAAGTTCTTCATGAGCAAAATCTCTATTGATAGCTGCATAAAAAAGCTTATCTAAAAATATTGAACTTAATACAAAGAAGCATTTTAATCAGATTAGTCCATGATTCATTCAGATATCTGACTCAAGTATTTTAGATAACATAACATTTATGATCAATATATTAGTATTGCAACCTCATCTGTCTCCAAAGTACAGAAAACTGCCTATTTAATAGCAGCAATTACTCATCCTGTTCTTATTGCTTAGCTAATCTATTTTTATGCCAAATTTCCACTGTCCTTTTGATATAAATACATCCTCCCACACTTAGCTAATCTATTTTTATGCCAAATTTCCACTGTCCTTTTGATATAAATACATCCTCCCACAAAGTGGAGAGAAGTCATTATGACATTTTGACCTTTCGCACAACCACTCTGTTGCAATGTCATGTGCAGAAGGTAGAAATAACTATGTGACGTTCTTTTTCACATAAGCCATACTGTGCTGAACGTTTGTAGAGTAACCAGAGAAATTATGCCTGCTGACAACGTTTGTAGAGTAACCAGAGAAATTATGCCTGCTGACAACGTTTGTAGAGTAACCAGAGAAATTATGCCTGCTGACAACAAAGATATCTGCAAATTAATCTTATCTTTTTAAGGTGTTAATGTTAATATTCTTGGTGTCACATCTGTCCATTCATTCTAAAAGAACCATATTATAGTAGCCTTTTTTCCACCTTCTCAGTCCTGCTCCTTCATCTTGCATGGATGAGAAAGAAAAGGTCTGGCCCTCTGATATTGGGTTAAACAAGGTTTTCCATTTATTACCCACAAATTTGGGACTCAAACCAACAGGTACACAGTCTAAAAAGATCCTTTCTAGTTTTGAAACAATTAGAAAGATTTGCAGGTGACTAACTCAACCAGATCTGTTGAAGAAACATCATGGAGGTTCTCTCAAGACCAAAATATTGCTTCAATATTTTTTCAGTCGATTCTGACAAGACAATATTTCTCCATCAACCCCTTATTTCTTCTTCCAGCTACCAGGTACATTCCATGAGGTGACCCAGGTTGCAACAGATCCAAGAGAAAGTTCTCTAACACTCTTTCCTTTCCAACTGCAGGAAAGGAGGGACAACCCTAGCAAATTATCACCTCTCCTTCTATGCATACCCTTCCCATATGTCCCAGTTGATGCTCACTTAGGTCTCCCATATGTCCCAGTTGATGCTCACTTAAGCCTCCCATATGTCTCAGCTGATGCTCATTTAGGTCTCCCAAATGTCCTAGCTGATACTCACTTAGGCCTCCCAAATGTCCAAGTTGATGCTCACTTAGGCCTCCCAAATGTTCCAGTTGATGCTCACTTTGGCCTCCTATATATCCCAGTTGATGCTCACTTAGGCCTTTTTTAGAGGTCACTGTATCTGGATCCTCTGAATCATAAACAAGAATTATTGACTCCAGTTTCAAGGAAAAACATCACTGTCAAGGGCCCCCAATATTTTTCCCAAGTCCAGTGTGGTGAAATTAAAGGAAGAGGTGCACACCTTTTAGCAGAAAGAGCAATGTGGAAAAGGTCTTAAATGATCTTTCTGCCACCTTCTACTCCTGAATCTTTCTGGTCACTAAGAAAAGCAGGAAATTTATAATCATAATTGATCTCTCCCTGCTCAACCAGTTTTTGTCAGAGGAAACCTTCAAGATGGAGACATTAACCTCCTCAGTCCAAAATGCTCTTTTTCCATTCAATTGGGCCATATACACTGACCTTCAGGGTGCCTATTAACATATCCCGATATTTCTTCCACATCACAAATATCTTTATTTTTGCTCAGACCAGGAATCTTTAAATTCCAGAATCTCTTCTCCACCCAGAGTATTCACTCAGGTCATGGGAGTGGTAGCAGTC